GGAATCAACGAAACCGAGTGATCACCCTGACTTCTACGTCGCTATGATTGATAGCACACAGCTCCAAAACATTGCAGAATGACCTACAACTAGTTTTACGTGTGTAAAATGCACAAAACACCGACCAATGGATGCTGAGAAAAAAACCCAATAGCATAACGTCATCATACAATTGATCAGATGATCAATGACTTACCTTTAGATACCTCTTGTGAAACAATTCTATTAACTCCGATCGCGAACAATATCCATGTATTTTCTTCACCAAAATCAATATTTCTTAAAACGTTAATGGCAACAGGCACAACGTTAAATCTGTGAATTGCATGTGCCAATCCCGCAAGCGAACTGCTTTAAACACTGATCAACGTTTAGTTTACATCGCATGCATGCTACTTGCATAGTTTTATCTGCATTTGATAACTGTTTGTTAAGAAGTTTCATTTCTTCGTCGATCAGTCGTCATGAACTTTGGATACCCTATTTTGGCACCCGGAACCATTCTTTCGGAATTGAAAATAATCCAGTCAAAGTTGTTTCAGAAATTATTCAGTAAGTCGGCGAAGCTGTACAATATATATGACGATAGTTTTAGTAAATGTTGAGATTCATGTGAGTAAAGGAGACTTTACATCTTTTTGGTCTTAATTCGGTTAGTTTGTTATGCTCAAGTTGTAACTAGCATTACGTATGATTATGAGAAAGAGAATACCCAGAGTCACTACTCTAACTGTACAGATATTCATCAGCTTCGGCCACGTGTATATTTGTTAATTCAACTATTTTATTGTTACATACATGTTTATACGCCTGTGAATACCTTCTTTTTTATGTAATGCAGATTCAGATTTTATTTTGTGAAAAGAATACAGTTAATATCACGTGTTGTACATTGTATAAACCAATGACACAATCACCATAAGCTTAAAATGAATTATTCAATCCTACGTCACTTCTGGATATATGTTTGGCTGTTGTCTATTTATGTAACTGACCTTTTCCGTTATTTACTTTCTCTTTTTATATTTAACCACAAATATCCACCTTATCCCGCAGACGCACACTTAGTGTGGAAACGTGTATTTACAGCGCTCCAAGGAGACATGTCACTGATTGATGTTCTTTGTGGCTGCTCTAAAGTTGATAGTGTTTATCTACATGTATGAGAGTGTTGCGACATGTTTGAATGACTAGCCTTGCATGTCCTGGCTGGTGGATTTATGACCGGGATGATTAGACTGAAATTGCTTTCCTTGAATTCACGCTGCTAAGCCCTGTCTGGCCAATCACTTATCTTCCATGTGTATTGATGCAGTGTGCGTTTGTGTGCATAACACATGCTAGACACATACTGTGGTCCTTTTGAAATGTCACCGGATCTGGGTTGGAAGTTAAAACCGAATTCTAATAACAGAGTCATCATTGTTAATGTCAACACACTGTTCGCAAATTGCTGTGTCGTGTGTGTTCCTTTAGAACCGGATACAGCCTTATATCTGAATAGACAAACACTCCTTTTCGGTCTCGCTCTAATCTGCGATTACGGCTCGCTAATTAGAGGACCTCTAAACACATCACCTGTATAACATGGCGAAAACGGTCGCTTTAAACAAACATTGTTTCATCAAATGAGTCAGAAAAGGATGAAATAATTGTCAACAACTGCAATTTACCAGTGTCTATCTTTTCCTATTTCAATAAACGAAATCTTCAATGGCTCATTTATATTGTTTTTGTTTGTTTGTTTTTTCACTCAGCAATACTACAGCTATACGACGGCGGTTTGTAAATATTCGAGTCTGGACCCGACAATCTAGCGATTAACAGCATGAGCATCGATCTACACAATGGGGGCATGTGTCAACCAAATCACCGAGCCTGACCGTCAGATCCCGTTAGTCGCCTCTTACGACAAACATGGGTTTCTGAAGACCAATTTCAACCCACATCTTCACGGGTGGCTCAAGTATGAATATGAGGTTGTTATCATGACGTTGATCACATTTGCAGATGTTGACGAAACTTGACTGAAAGTGACCATGAGTGAGCAATATGCCTAGGTATTTATTTTCCTGCACCATATTAACAGATTCACCTATCAAGAAACATTTCTACATTTCTGACAGGATTATCTCTGGGAAATGTAACTTGTTACAGTATTTGTTTCATGAAAATGCACTATGTTACCATTCATCTGAATGTCATTCTCTGTAGACCAATAAGAGCACCTTCGTAGAGTGAGGGACAAATTGGATGAACGTCGGAGCTTGTTCTTAATTTTCAAGAAGTGATTTCCGAAGTATTTCATAAACCTGTGAGGAATACAGTGTTGTTCATCAACGATCATTTGACCGATCATTGAAAGATGTTTGTGTCAAATAGATACAAGGGTAAATGTATTATCATGAATGGGTGATTGAGTGAGCTTTTAGCAATATTCTAGCAATTTCACGGCGAGTAAATGTAAAGATTTCGTCACCTCAGTTCAAAACACTGATCGAGCCCATAGTTTTGATTTCGTCGCTAAAATCAGTCAAAAAGAAAATTAAGTCTGGTGATATACGGCAGAATGTGCCATCGTTCGCGGTCATTGTGACCAGCCTCTGGTCCTATAGAATAACCTTATTGTGTGCAGAATTATCTGCATATGATCTTCTATAAAAAGAGAAAAGTAAATACCTTGGAACACATCCTTGGCGTGAGCAAATCAGGCAAACACAGACGTCAGTTAGGGCATCTCCTCAGTAAACGCCTGGATTTCCGTTTACAAACATTGATTTAACAGCTGCACACATTTTGCTCCCCAAACCCCTGTTCTCCAAACAACTCATCTTGGAGATTTTAAAAATATAATGCAATTTAAAAAGTCGCCAAGGACGCACACAACTGTTTGCACGTATTTCTCACTGCCTACAAGATGACCATGTGGTCAATAGGTCACTCGTCCTTTCTAAGTCCAGCTTGTTTTAGGAATGAAATCACTCATGTTTGACAGCAGTGGTGATCTATTATTGATGCCAGAAGAAATGCTTCAGCAAGAATTGTACTAAGAGATTTAACCCAGAAATTGTCTATACTGTTTTCGTTTCCATTCTTGAATAATGGTACAAGAAAATGCAAGATGTCAGTCTTTACGCATTTCAGATTTTACACTGTAACGGCAGTAGATTTAAATTGTTTTAAGGCGAGAAATATGTGCTCCGTGTCCATGATTCCAACAGAAGCAGGACAACATTACCAAAAGTTCATCCCCTAGCTCAGAGAAGTCATTGCCTAGCCAAAAATATAGTCATTCTTTTAGACGTTCTTAGAGTAACGTACCCATATGACACCGCAACTATCACCAAACGCTACGATCTGTTCCATAATGGTTTTTTTCCCAAATATTCTTAAAACTGTGCAAGTGTGGTTTTCAATACACAGTCAGAAGACGTGAGGTCATACAGTCCTCATATAAGTTTACTCATAATTCAGTTATCACATGTGCTTACATCCTAGCTACTCATGCCTTTGACTATATGTATGAATCTGCTGGGTCACTCAATTGGAAAACTATTTATGGGGATGAGTTTGTTTGTATTTGCATATCGGTGAGTAAACGTAACTGTATTTATGACTGGACATCACAATCTTGTGTTACGTCATAATTGTTTTCCAACAACAAGCTGAAAAGTAACTATTACTGTTTAAATCATGATTTTTCGCAAGTTATAATTAAATATTGATGATGACGTGCGTCTAGTTCAGTGTTCAGTGTTCGGCACTGCGTATTTCTGTCGTGATTTCTGTGTAACCATGAAAGTACTTCAGGCAGAAAATCCCTTATCGTTCTCCCGCGGTGTCAATACTATGAAGAAATATTGTTGTACTTCGCACTAAACTGTGTTATGTTGGCCATTGGTGGCAAATGTTCTGGCATTAAGACCCACAATCATTAAATTATACCGCCTTTGGCGTTAGGGCCAAGTAGTCTGTAAAAAGCAATTACGTGGAGCTATTTGGACTGTGTCAAGAGATCCCCTACTCTAATCCTTGAATCAAGTGGGTACAAATCCACCTTGACGAAAACAAACTTATTTGCTTAAGAACTAATTTAGGGGAATAATCTTTTTTTCATTTTGATCGATCTGCCCTCGTTGCAGATTTGCGATCGATAGAACCCAATAGGATAGGTGCCTAAGCACGTTATATCACACAAGTTGACGAGACAGTGTTTTTTATTCAAAGAAGAAAAATGTGCATTACAAACATAGTTTAAGCGCGCACATGAATAGAGCCAGGAGACTGCGTTCTGTTTTATGCTTGATGTTCATGTCTTCAAAACAACTTGTGAATTTCTTTTTAAAGATTCCGTCAAAGATATCTTCAAGCATATTTGACCGATCTAGATCTTGAAGAAGCCCCTGCCTTCTCCGATCCGCAGAAAAATGTTTTTGTTATTTTGGAAGTAAATGTTAAACTCAATACACTTGTACATGCATCGCTGTCATTGTGGTTGTGGTGATTGTAAAGGTGGGTGGGTTCTTGGTATGGGACTCACACAATATAGATGTTATAAATTATTACAGCACCATACATGTATATGAGCTTGCAATGAACGTTTATGGAATTCCTTGGCTTTACCTGCATCAGCAAATGTTCAAATCGGTGTCTACTTCAAATCGTTCGCAATGCAGCTTTAGATTCAATTTACGGCTATTTCATTTCTATGTTTTAACATTTGTTGCAGTATATCCAAAGCCATTGTTAATAAAATGCTGTTGTGATATACCTTCCTTTCATATCGGTATCAATTGCCCGTTTTGTAAATCACATATTCCTCTCAAGACAACCAAGTCATGTCGACACAACTATACATGTAGGTCACACACATAAAGTATTTCCATTTGAGTTAGTGAGTGAGTTTAGTTTTACGCCGCTTTTGGCAATATTCCAGCGATATCACTAGAAATAGGCTTCACACATTGTACCCACGTGGGGACTCGAACCCGGGTCTTCGGCGTGACCAGAGAACGATTTAACCACTTGGCTACCCCACCGCCCCGATATTTCCATTTGAACGTGTATATTTAAGTGTGCTTCGAAATCCACTAATTTCTTTTTCGGTTTTCCTTATTCTAATTATTGTTCTCATTTCATGCGTTAACAGAAAACAACCAATGTCATGTTTGTCATGTACGATACAGGAATCAATACTCTTATGATGCTGACTTTCAATGGTGGTCGTTGAGAAACACGTTCTGACTAGCTTCACGTCGTCCTCTCCAGAATCCATCAGACGGAATTCTTTTCAGGTAAAAACGTGATTTTCCCACATCAGTTCTGTTCTTTCAATCCAATATTGTCACAAGAAACGTCTGAAGTATAATCCTTGTGTAATATTCGACTATTGCATGATATTGGTTTTATAAGTAAATTCAGCATCAGGATCATGTTTCCTTCACGGGATAATTCATATCGCGAAGCTATTTCAGCAAAAGCTATTTCCATGAAAAGATCAGAACCATCCATTCAAATAGTTTCACTTCTTCACTTGGAGTGGTTGTGGAGCATCGAGTTCACAATCTGAATGCATTGTTGAACAGGCAAGACTTCCATAATAAGCCTTAAAATGACGGCGAAACTGTCGACTTGTGGCACAGTAGATAAATACGTTACACGCATGATGGGACAGGGCAATCTCTTCCACGATCTTTCTACTAGCAAAGTAGGAGAAATAGCTCTGCCAAGTACAGTCATTACCCATATCATCTAGAGGCATGGATTGGCCAAGCTTTACACTGGTTTGAAGAGCATACACAATGGTGACTGGGAGCTTGGTAAAGATGAGATAGAATGAAATCCAGAGAAGTGTAACTGTGGTCGCCGTACATCGAACGTTAGCCGTTCGGTGGTCAGAGTCACTTACATAAAGTTTCCCCACACTTTTAATCTGTCTCAATACACAGATATTGAGAATGAGGACAATAATTGGTACCAAAGCGAACATTACCATCTCCGTTGTCCAGTTCCATACTATGTAGAACTTACTGCTATTCTGATAGTCGTCGTTTTCCCGAGCCTGGCATTCCTCCGTGTTCGGTCCGATGTGCCAGAAGTAACCCTGTGGCAACGACAGCACGAAGGAGGTAACCAAGACCAAGACAATAACCTTTGGGGAACGCGACGACCGAGAAAACCTTTCACATTCAAATGGATGACATACAGAGAGAAACCGTTCAACTGTGAACGCTAACACTAGCAGCATACATATGTATTGTGTTGCTATGTAAAGAACGTTCCAAACCTGGCACCATCCTTGTAAATCCAGGGCCCCACGGTGCCACGGGTATTGAAGTTCGTAAAATATATGTAAAATAAGAAAGGTTATGTCTGCAATCGCCAGTGCTGTCAGGTACGAAGCTGAAGTGTTGCATTTACGCATTCGACGTAGAAGCCACACCTTAGCTGAAACAATGTTTCCGATAATCCCAATGGCACACCACACAGGGGTAACATATTTGTCAATATCAAGGGCAAATGGAACGTAAGCACGTAGCACTAAGGACAGATCATCCCATCGGTTGATTTCAACTGCAGCAGGTGACGACTCGGTGCTGTGGTTTGAAATGTTGTACACAATTGTGGCCATTTTCTGAAAAAGATATTGAAAAATCAATATAAGTTTCGAAGTGAAAGTCATGAAAAATGTAATTAATGAAATTAAAGACAATTCAACATTCATTCACTTTCTAATACATTTGTATTTTAAGCAGCTTGTATCAGACTTGCCAAAGTTCAATGTCAACTCATTTCTAAAATGAATATGTCTGTATACCAATCATGTACATTAATCCATATACCAATCATGTACATTACTACAAGATCTGCTCATCTTAGTTCGTTCAACTAACTTGGGCTCTGGGAACGGATCTTTATGTACGTGCAATGTTTATGCACGATATCCTTCTGCACTTGCAACAAATACCACAGGACTAGTGTATGCATATAAATGAAGAATGAAATGTTATGTTCACTCAGCTGTGTGTTCAGTTACCATATGGGAATAGGATTGACCAACTAAGATCATTCTCAAACTGCCAGATTCAGGATAATGTATTCAGTTTGTTAACATGAAGTGTATTTGACTTGCTACAAATTCATCAATATTTGTCATAGTCATCGTTCAGGAATCACTCGAATTGCCTGAGATCGTCATCTGTCGCTACAAAAATATTGATATATTTGGTTGCTATAGAACAATAAAAACAGAAACGCCATCTTTATGTGTTCCATTTGCCATTACGATGACACTAAGAAGGGAGTAATAGTCATAGCCATGGCCGCGTTGATATTGATCGATATCCCTGGCAATCGAACTCATAGTTCGAGTAAACATATGAGAACGAAATTTAGCACGGAATCGTTCACATCTCCATGTCAAGTCTCAAAGAGCGTCACGTGCTGATTAAACTGAGGAAGAACAGAACAGGACAGCATGGTGAAATACATATTTTGGGTATTTGTTGATGACTCCCCATGGGGGAATCTAATATATTCCCAGTGTCCACTATGCTAAGCATGTCTGCAAATGCGGATTGGCTGGCTCAGTCAGGCGCTGTGATTTAACTGACTGCGTATTAGTGTCATTGGTTCTTCATAATGCTTCCAGTCACTGATCTCGCTGACGGAGAGTTGAATACTCACAGCTCGCCATAATATAACCCGACTATTCAAACATAAGGACATGTCAGCATTGATGAATATTAGCAGAACAACACAGAACATGAAATACATCATAACTAATAATTTATCAGTGGACTAGCTAGTTAGACGATCAATGTAACTGAAGATAAGTATCTATTGAGCTGACAGCAAACTCTATCAAGGTAACAATGATAAGACCCGTGAAGATCCGGGTTAGATCCCATGCTTGTCGCAAGAGGCGACTAACGGGATCGGGTGGTCAGTCTTGCTGACTTGGCTGACACATGTCATCGTATCACAATTGTGTAGATCGATGCTCATGCTGTCGATCACTAGATTGTCTGGTCCAGATTCAATTATTTACAGACAACCGCCATATAGCTGGAATATTACTGCGTGCGGCGTTAAATAAGAAACAATCAATAAATTACCAATGCTAACAACATGGCGTCGAAAGCTTTCAAAAGCGTCTTTAAATATTTATGCCATGGCCAGTGGTGTTGTGAAAGTACAAATCCATCGTAACTCATGTTGGCTTGCATGGAAAAATAATACCAGACAATCAAACACACAACGAAAATAAATATCGTTCTGTGATGTACAAATCTACAGTATCATTGCCAGGGGTTCCGTTAAAGCTTTTGTCGTTGATTCTGTGTCCTGATTAACAAACCATTATCTGTCAAATATATAAATACAGCATAACAACGTATGTGAAATTGGTAAATTCCCACTACGAATGCATGTGTTATTCTTCTAAATGATGATTTGAAAGTGTTGTTGGACAGAAAGATGTAATATGATTCATAAACACGTGTTTATGTTACAGTCACAATCGTGCAGGGGCGGTGGGGTAGCCTACTGGTTAAGGCATTTGCTCGTCACGCCGAAGACCCGGGTTCGATTCCCCAGATGGGTACAAAGTATGAAGACCACCTCAGGTGATACTGCTGGAATAATGCTAAACGTGGCTTAAAATCATATTCACTCACTCAGACTTTTAGCTATTAATGGATAACAAATACCTTCCGTTCCTATGGGAAGGGATACGTCGCTTATATTTCAGATAAATATATCAAATATTCAAGTACACAAAATTGAAATGGCTAAAAACAGAACAGAAAATATATTGGTTTAATGATTGAAGTTTTATGTATTCGTGATAATTAAGTATACATACTAGGCGTCAATAATAAAGGGTCAAATGATATATAGCACATGTAAAGAAAGGTTTCTCAGAAATAATAGAACTAAGAGTGTCATCATAACGTTTAATGTGTTGACAAACGTGACACATCGTGACATACAGACAAAACGTTCAAACAGCTCTAGCAAACATCACTTGCATAGACCAACCTCCAAAATGAAAATGACAGATACGAAGCACCCGGTAATTCAATATCTTGTGTCCCATCCTCACGCGTGCAACACACAGTTGCTCCTTGTTCTCATGTTGCTTATCAAGTTCATAAAGAAAGCTTGTGGAATCGCATTCCTTTCCTCTACTAGAGCTCTGCGGAGTCCTGGGAGATCCACTGGTGCTGGGTGACGTGTGTACACACGTCGACCGAGTTCATCCCAGACATGCTCAATTGGGTTGAGGTCTGGCGAGCATGCTGGTCTACACCCTACACCCTAAGGAATTCCGTGACAATCTTGGGCCCTATGAGGCCTATCGTTGTCGTCTTGCAGTAAAGAGGGTCGACCATAAAAGCCATGCATAGCTTACAGGAATGGTACTGCTATAGGAATCTCGTCCCGATCACGCTGTCCTGTAAGATTACCGTCGACCACGTGCAGTGGAGTACATCCAGTAAGAGTTATCCCTTCCCAAACCATGACCGAACCACCGCCAAATCGGTTATACGTGGCATCTGAGATTCGCCTTCCATTGCGATGATAAATCCTCTTCCGACCATCATGGAAGGATAAATTGAATCGGCTTTATACTATTAAAACATTACTGCCCTTCAGAAGATCTTCGGGGCAGTGGGGTAGACTAGTCGTTAAAGCGTTCGCTCGTCACGGCGAAGGCCCGGGTTCCATTCCCCACATGGGCACAAGGTGTGAAGCCAATTTCTGGTGTCCCCCGCCGCAATATTGCTGGAATATTGCTAAAAGCGGCGGGGAACCCAACTCACTCACTAACTCAGAAGATCTTTAGCAGCCAACGCTTGTCCTGAGATTCCTTCCTCATATCTGTACGTTGATGTTCATGGTGAAAGTGATTTCATTTGTGTGGTCAAGTGTGTACAGTCAATCGGGATACAGCTGGCGTGCGGTGTTAGCAACAAACAAACAAACCTATGGGCACTTGTGCAATAACGCAGGATTCGCAGTGTATCCAGGTTTCGCTATACACGTGGCCCTTCTGGTGAGTATTACTATAGACTTTACCCTCATACCAAATTGACATGCCGTGGTGTAAATTAACTGGAATAATGTTCAAATATAGTAAACCCAACTAACCGAGTGTGCAAACAAGCTCTTTCAGGCCCAAACCAGACGATCAATTGGTTGTCATAAGTTTTCTTTTGCCCACAGTTATAACTTATTGATATGGTTAAGTATATTAACGCTTTGTTATTGTACATTGCCTTGTACATTGTTACATTGCTGACCAAACGTGGCATGAACATTTTCAGATCTTCATTTGAATTTTCAGATTTTCATTTGAATAAGAAGTATGACTTCATCCTTCAAATATTGACGTCAACTTCACCTTATGTCGAGCAATGTGCATGCGGCTTCATATTTAGGTGTTTATTTTTACAGGGGCATGCTCATTTTGGCAGGATTTCAAAGAGCTCCATACGCTGTTTGATCATACGTTGTGTGATCGAGATTGCCACATGCATCGCGTAATATACAGCTGTCGAGAGATTGTATGGTGGACATGTGGAGGTGCATTTGTGTTATTCGATGCAATTACCCACTTTCACTTGCGTTAAATGTTTCAGTAGTTTTTTCTGGTAAACCACGAAATAGCCATGCGTGTGTTTTGATGACTTGAGTTTAATTCAGCATGCGTTAATATTACAGTTTCTTGATCGGACAAGGATTACTTTGGGGAGTGTATTTTTCGTAGGACTTGAGAAAAAGTAGTCAGCAGTTGCTAATAAACAACAGTTCCAGTGTACTTTTATCAAAGCCATTTCCGTTCTGTGTTGATGACAATCGACCTCATGTTTTACTTTGCACAAGCACAATTGAATAAATATTCCCATAAAATGCTCTCTCTGCAAAAATATGGTTCATCAGAGGCCTGGGAAGCTTCTAAAGAATCCGCAGGTACTGATTGTTATTTTTTATACAACCGCATGCCACAAGCTATATACGCATATATGCATTTCTCTCCAGTCATGCCATAATTAGACCTGGCTTGTACAAGATGTAAATATTCTTTGCATGTTCCGCCATTCCATCAAACTGACTGGAAATCAATCAATGCGTCTAATAGCTAGCGGTGCGCATGGTTCCTTTTAGAAGCATTGGAAATCCACGATGAATGCTTTACTTGCATCAGCTTGATGATACATCTACAGTTACTGCTTCTTATGAAACAAGTGAGCGTTGAAAAGCAGAGTTTTACTTGGGCACTATCCATTTGCATTTATTGGAGTTGCCTGGGATTTGTGTAAAAGTAAATTTGTTTTAAGGGCAGTGTAATTGCAAGTCACCTGATTGATTATCTGGCTTGTCCCGGAGAGTGTTTCTTCTATTATGTTTGGCATAAGATGTATAAGGATAGGTCCAAACAATATGTCGCTAACCTGAGTGAAGTTGGTTTAACGCTGCTTTGAACAATATTTCCGTTATATAGGCTTGGTGTGCTAGGAAAGGTAATTTACTGTATTTCTGAAAGGTGTTTGTGTGGTGCAGACAAATCTAGAAACATAGCCTCGGCAATCCGG